TCTTTGTCTAATGGAGCATTTTTTGATTTTCGTGGGATCTTCTCGTAATGTTGCTGTTTTGCATTTCAGGAAACAGGCTGTTACTTTCATCAAGGTGTCCTGAAAAGTCCCGCTCTGCAGATTACAGGACTGAATCTGAAATGAAAAGCATCAGATATCCAATTAGTTCTCATATATAGATTCTGTGTATAAACATCAAAATTTTAGGTTAGAGGTTTAGAGACATATTCAAAATCAATTGACCCAAATTTTCCTCCAAATTAGGAGTGGATGATGCGGCATTTATCGATTAATTCAATTTTCTCTTTATAAAGACACAATTTTTTATGTAATATGGATTTTTTTTGCACTCCTTGGGCTTCCACAGCTCCCTCAGAGTGACATCAGTTCATCTTTTTGTTCTGCCTGATCCCTACTATCAGCTCATGTATGCACATACAACCAGAAATGCATCCCGGTCGCCATTAAATAATGTAATAAAGGTCCCAAAAGTCTATCCGTTATTCATTAAAGTATGCTAAACTACGAGGCATTAAAAGTTAATAACGACTTTGCTGAGAGAACAGATGCTCAGAGCAGAGCAGTGAAATATCATTTCACTGCATTTATCTGTGTTTAGTTTTCCTTCTAGAGATTATGCACTCTATACTAGACTGATAGCAGGTAGGGCTGGGTGATATAGTTTAAAATCAGATTTTCTTTCCTGTCATGTCCAATTAATCATTTATTATCCTCACTTAAGTTTCACGATACAAATGAAACATGACATAACTGCTTCAAAAGCTAGCTTTGATTGCAATCACCACCTCTGGGAGGTGAACATCATTCACAGCAGCGTAACTAAAGAAGTGAAACCTGCTTATAGAATAATCATGTTTCACAAAAAACAATGGAATCATGACACTGAATGCTAGCAGCTGGTAGCTTCACTGACAGAGCTGGTTTATTAGTTACTGTATGTGTGCAGAAATAAGAACAAAAGCTGATGTTACTCTGAGCTATGGAAGTTCATTGGTGAAAAAAGAAAAAAGATTTTCAAAAAAATGATATCACCATTAACAAATTATTTTATTGGTTTAATCACTCGGGTGTAGTATAAGGAAATTAAAGCATAAAAAAGACTAGAATTATTTATCAAGCCAAAGCTGGAAAATGCTGCCAATGTAGGGCTAGGATCGCGTTTCCAGGGCAGATCAGATGAGAATGATACTTAGCATGAGGCGACAGTGATAAACTAACTCACTGGGTGATACCGCTAGATGTTATGTTTTCTTTGTCTGTTGTGAAACGGAGGGGGTGATTGAAATCAAAGCTACCAGGAAGGAGAACATCCAAATTAAAATGTCTAAGCCACACTGCCTAACCAGAACCGCGGTGTATTTTATGTTGTTCCGATATTGATGTTAACCAGGGCTCGATGTTAACCAACGCCTGATCTCCCGGGCGGGGCAAGTCGTTTTTATTGTCGGGAGAGTACAAATTTCATTGCATTTGCCCGCCAGGCAAGTGCAATGATCGCAAAATTTTTTTTTTATTTATCACTCAAAATTACTTTAAAATCGCCGTCATTCGATGAAAACGACCCAGAAGCGACCCCGGCACCGTTTTTGTTGTTTTGTACACATTCTCTCGTGATTTGAAAAAGCAGATTTTCCGCAAGATGGCGTGATTTTTGTCCACCTAGCGGTAATTTTGATGTAGTTACCAAAACGACAAACAAGCAAGAAAGCGCTATCATATGGCAGTCTTCTATACAGTGATGCAGGTCATACATAAAAAAATTTTATTAAATTTTTTCTCTTAGACATTGGAGAGGTGCATTTAAATGTTATAGAGCTAAACATGTTAAATTGGTGACCTGTTATGTTATTATTATTATTGTCTTGTTGCTGCATTTATTTTGTCAGGGAAAACTAATCCTGAGTCAGTTAAAAGTCATGGAATTCTGAAATTATGTAAAACTGTGGAAACCCTGTATAAAATAACTATTAATAATGATTCTCTAGAAAAGTCACATTATATTAATAGTATTATCTTGTATCAACATACCGTGACTCTAGAATAAGTTATTCATTTTTGACATTGACTTCTGTCTTGTGATTTATCTTAAGTTTTTAACCTGAGTTTTTTTTAGATTTTTAACATTACAATTTATATTTTTCCAAGCACACAACAGTTTAAAGCAAAGTTTAGTTTGAAAAGAATGTGCAGGAAGGCTTGAAAGCATGTTAACACGGTAATGTAGGCTTGAGTTCATTATCTGACGCATGCCTATACACACCAGGAACCTGGAAACTTACTGAATTACAAAAAACATTTAAAAAACAAACATGTTTCATTGATATATATACAAAAATGAATATTAGGAACTACTGTATATTTATCAAACATTATACTGGGCAAGTAAAAATTGTTTCTGGGCAAATGAAATGTGAAAGTCAAGTGGTAAAAGTCCTTAACGTCAACCCCTGTTAACAATATGAAAGCCTCAGAAAGACAGCCAGGAAAGCCCCCAATAGATGTCTGCGCAAACCTCTTGGAATTATTTTAGCAGGTCCATGTAATTGCTGTGAAAATTATGACTTATATGGCTGGATTGGATATCAGCTCCAATATTGACTTATTAGCTGCATCGGATATTGGCTCCTATATCGACAAGTTAGCTGAATCGACTTCAGCTCCTATAATGATTTAGCTGGATCGGACATCGGCTCTGATATCGACTAATTAGCTGCATCAGATACCTGCTTCGATAATGACTAATTAGCTGGATGGGATTTCTGCATTTTAATATTAGATATCCAAGATTCAATCCAGTTCACATGGAACTGTTATTTTATTATTTTTGCTGCTCCATTCTCTCACTCCTGCTTTCCCTCCTGCTCTGATCTGATTTCAGTTGTTCTGTTTGTCAATAAAAGTTGTTTTTTTTTTTCTTTTCCTTCTCATCTTTAGTAAAACAAAACAGAAGGCAGCCTTTTTCTTTATTTTCCTGGGAAGAGGGAATGTTGACAACACTAGCAACGCTTCCTTTATCACAGCAAGGATCGGCTCAGTCCAAACAAAATGATCCGCTCCTCTACTCTGACTTTGAGCTGCAGAAATAGCTGTTCCTTTTAACCGTCACACTTTCTACACGGTCAACCCGTCATTAATTAGACACTAAAATCAGAGAGAGCTTTTCCAGAATGTGGACATTTGTTCATCTTATAATCGTCGCTCATCTTGTAGCCCCCGGATGTTGCTCTCGCCCCTCCCTATTTACCCAGCATGCACTGCGGCAGCAGCAGCTTCCAATGGAGCTCTCACAGAGCTCAGAGTATTAAGCTAAAAGTTCTCTTTTCTGTTGCAGTTGTTCTATAAAAGTACATTCTAAGATCATTTGAGACGAAAACATTATACTTTAAAGCGTCACTTTGTGGCCCATTTACTGATTTAATGCATATTTTAAAAGAAAATTTCTGAAGTTGAGAGGATCGTAGCAACCAGCGGACCTCTGAGGCTAACCGCAGCCCGTCTGCAGCAGCCATCTCTTAGCATAGCCGTGTGCGAAGGACCACTGGCTGTGATGGCAATTTTTTTTTGTTTTATTTTTTTATCTGATGTTTATCTGACTGTATTCATTATTAATCCCCCACTAAAAGAAAAAAGTAATAATTTATTATTATCTAGAGACTATTAATAACAGGAGGGCAAACGCAGCTCCAGACGAGCCGAGCGTGTGGTGACGTCAAGAGTACGCTTCTGTTCCAATGGACATATATTTATGCTACTGGCTCCCGTTCTCCCAGAGTCCACACTTTCCTGTGTTCTTCTCAAGAACATACTTGGCAAGGACACGAGTCCGTGAACTGAGAAACGGCATGTGTCTTTGCTGAACGTCATGCAGTCAAAATATTGCAGCTCTTTTGGTTTGAATCGGCTGCTCACTAGAGACTGACAATTTTTCGGGAATCCTACGGGTCACGGGATTCCCGGGGGATTCCCGTGGGATGGGAGTCAGTATTAGTAACGATCACGCGATTGGGACGGTGCAGGATTAAACATTAACGGGAGCAGACGGTAGCGGGAGCACACCAATAGTAACTAAAAAAAACTAGGATCGATGCCAAAAAATAAAATAAAATAGAAAGAAAAAAATCCAGTACTGGCGCCGCCATTTTGTAGTTTTTTTCCTTGAAGCCTACACTATAATGCAAGTCAAAAAAACTACACGACCCAAAAACCAACAGTGCTTCCGCTCTGAGTTTTTCACCCGTGCTCAAAAACAACAAGAATGGGAGTGGTGCAGGAGCGGGAGTCATTCTGAATGGGAGCGGGAGTAATTTCACCAGGAGTGGGACGGGACAGGATTTAGATTTCTACTCTGGCCCGGGATCGGGATGGGACACAATTTTTGTCTGTGGGACGGGACAGGAGTGAAAATCCACTCCCGTGTCAGTCTCTACTGCTCACTGAAATTCAGTCAGAGATGAAACACTAATTGTAGCCTATATATGTGGTTAAAAGTGGTTAATAACGCTGTTATTGGATAAATAAATATGATGATTAGATATTGATTCTACGTTCTTGTCCAGCTGTACTTTGAACTAACGTGGTTTTACCTTTTCAGTATGTTTAACCTCTTCCTGATTAGTGGATCTGCTAAAGATTAGAGTCCATTTGTGTTTAAGTTTATTCATATTTATCCTGTTGACACCTTTTTTTTAGGGTAGCTCTGGGTTAGAAGCTGATTTTACATGTTGATGTTAGAGATACAGTATAAATGTGACATTAGGCTGACAATGACAGCTGGCGCTCCCGTATGTCATCTCATAAGCACTGATGAATAGCCTCATTAGCCAATGTGCGGTGGGATCAAGTGGCGGGCCGCCGGCGTGCTGTGCCAGCGCTCTAAGCGCCATCGCTCACCATTCTTCCTGCACTTTTGTTTCTGTGTGTTTTCAAGCTTCCTTACCCATTTATTCTTATTTGCCTCTCTGTGTTTTCTCCTTCTCCAGCCGAGGATGATGACGAGTGGGAGAACGGCCTCTCCTACGAGTGTCGCACTCTGCTGTTCAAAGCCATCCACAACCTGCTGGAGCGCTGCCTCATGAACCGCGGCTTTGTACGCCTCGGCAAGTGGTTCGTCAAACCCTACGAGAAGCACGAGAAGCCGATCAACAAGAGGTACGGGAGAAATTCCTCCACCTGTGCTCCTCCTCATTGCTGTTTAAAATCTCTCTGTAATGATTATAGACTATACGGTGATTAACAGTGCCATAGATCATGCTAACGTGTTACTGCTGTACACGGAAGCTACTTAAAGTCTGTTAGTTAGAGCATACTAATGATTTAGTAGCTTCTACAATCATAAGTGCAGGTTATTGAATGAGTTTTTAAGCTTTTTCTGTTTAAAATGCTGTTCCTGCCTCAGTTCTGGTGTTTCAGATCAGCTCTGGAATACTCAGTGACCTCTGTGCTGTTAGTGTTTGAATATTAGCCACAGAGGCGCTCCTTCTCCTCACTATCTGCTGAGCTGGATTTCTTACAGTCCGTGTCTGGGCTTATTGATAACACATGCACTACTTGTCTGACGGCGGCCATGATGGCTTTCCTCTCCTTTTTGTTTGCACTTCCTCTCAACTTCCCCCACAGTGAAGATTCAGATGCTGTGAAAGTTGTTTTTTAGATGGTTCTAGTGAAAATTAAAAGTGCGTGGTTAATGCTTGTGTAAATGTGACAGCAGATGAGAGGGCTTATATGCTGCGACTGAGGGAGCTCCTGTTTAGCTCAGCCTGCATGCATCGGTTGGTTCTTTGAACTCTCTCTCTTTGGACGATACACGATGGTCGTAGTGATGGGCTCGTTGCAGGGTATGGAGAGCAAACTGCACAATAAAAATTTTTTTAATGGTTAAATACTTACGGGGTCATACTAGGCTTGGAAAAAGCATGAGGTTTGATTTATTTCAGAATCATCATGTGATCCCGTAGTTAAATGCCAGAAAGGCCAGAATACATCATGAAAAAGAAAAATGAAATGAATTGATGTTGGATTTAGTTTTGCTCTAATAAAGGATTCTAATAGTAAATATATAGTTACATTTTAAAATGACCCATTGAATATCACATTAAATAACTTAAATTACATTTAAAATGATGAACTAAAAGAATAAAATGTTAATAAAATATAAATATATTTATGTAAATTAAATCTAATTGCTTTATTAAGCATTTATAAATAATATTTTTTATGGGCTACAGACTGAACTGTTTGGGATCCCCTAATTTATTCCTTTCTTGCTTTTTTTGTTTTTACTATCAGCTGTTATTCTCCTGTTATGCTTGCTTAGTCTTTAAACTACAGGTTATTTTTAAGCCGATCCCATTACCGATTATTTTGACATTGGTCTAACTGATCCCAGATTTGTACTGCTAGTTTCTTCAGACTGATATTGATTTCTCTTCTTCCATTTAAGTGGTTAAAAACCTTACAAATGGATAGCAAATGGAGGGAGCTGCAACGCAAACCCTTTACATGATGTCAACAATCAAGCAGCCAGCGTCTCTACATACCGGCCGATTTGATACATGCAAAACCGCTCTATTGATCTGTCTATTAATAAACCTTTCAAATTGTGATTAAACCTTAGAACTAATTACTGATTTAAATGTGGAAAACAGATGAATCGAGACATTAAAATGTGTTAACTGAATTCCTTGTCCAACCACCGAGTAGCAACGGTGGACATGGAGAAACTTTCTTAACCAGATAGATTTTTCCTGTCATTCTCTTGAATGTTGGAGGTTTAAATTCCTTCCCTCCGCTGCTCCTTTATCCTCCCTGTCAGTCTTTAAATATCCATCCTATGGGTTGATATTAACAATGATTTTTACTTTCCCGTTATGTGGTGTTTTTGTTTCAGGAGGGGGAGGGGGATCGGTCATGTGGTGTTTGTTTGGTCATGTGACAACGATTGTGCTGCAGCTCAGGATAGTGTGTGTTTACCTGAACTGGAGAAGCAATGTTTTCATGGTATCTTAATGGTAGGGAAATATATGATCTTTGTAAATAATTGATTATCGTCCGTCACAAAAATCTATATTTTTGGTTTTCCTTATCAGTGCATCTATAGTCCTCAGATTTGGGCTCTCTGGTGTTTTTGTTCTCTTACCCAGTTTGGGAAAAGTTTGAATCCTTTAAAGCCAAGTGTATCATATCTGATAAGCGAGTTTTTGAGACTTTTGAGTCATCAGTGTGATATTTTTGTTTTTAAAAACCCTGACTTACACAATAAGACGCATTCAGCGAACAGATAATGTGTAAAAGATTCTACAGAAAGGCTTACTGTATCAAAATTGATGCAAATAAATTCTCTAGTTTAACTTATTTAAAAAGAATGTTTTTGATTTAATTTGTCAGAAAGTTAATTGACAGTTCTAATCAAAAAGATGTATATATATTTTTCACCGGTCCAGGCTTTAAAGGGTTAATCATAACGTAGCCTGGATTCATCCTCATCTGAAGGAATGTTTGTTATTTTCTTTATGATTTAAATTTGAAAAATTGGACAAAAAATTATTATAATAAAGTCTAAGTAGTATAGCTTTTTTTTTAACCTGATGTACCGATCAAAGATGGCTCCAGTCCAGGGAAAAAAACCAAAAAACAATGGTCTTTTCCTCTCTGTGGAATTCACAGGCCACCCTTTATGCCTCTCCCTCCTCTCTCTTACTCTGCATTTCTCTTCATCCCCCTCTGCTGTCAGAAAGCAGACTGGGCAGGTTTATAAATAGCGATGCAACCACCCTGGATCTCTACTGTTGTTAAGGACCTTTTCGTCTCTCCTTCTGTTTGATCCACTATGACCGCAAATACACTCGAATACTGATAATCAAAGGATCGCTAAGATGTGATGCATCATTCCCTGTTGACAAATAACAAAACGGGCATCTTTTCCTGTTTGCTCAGGGAGACACTTTTATTTAACAGTTGAAATCTGTTTATGTAGCCTTAGAATTGGTAGCTCTAAGGCCAGGAGCCTGTTTTGGGTTGTTCTGGGAAGTTTTGATACAAAACCGCAGGTTGCCATCTTTGAGGGCTGCAACTGTTTAGAGAAATTATTCATAACATTTAGAGGATGTTTGGCTTCACCTGCTGCTGTGAAGCAGGATTCTCCACCATGAAGAGAATCAAAAATGAATATGGATCCAGGCTCAAAATGAGCTCCTTGATATGTGCTTTAGAATGGCTTTGTCTCCATTCAAACCCAGGTTAAAAGCCTTGTAGGGCAGCATTAAGCCCACTGCTCACAAAAGAAAGAATAAACAAAAACAAATGGTCAGTTCATCCACCAGGTGACATAAAACCACCGTATGGAGACTGTATTTGAGACTGCCTAATGTAGTTTTCTCATCACTTCACCTCCATGCATTGTGTTTGCCTCTTGTTGCAGAGCAGTCTAGGAACTGTTTTGCATCGGCTCCCTTAAAACAGTTCGGACCGTGCTTCAAAAGGCACGTCTCTGTTGGAGTTCAACCACAAACTTTGAGAATTTGTTTTCAGTATTAAAATCTTGGGAGCCATGCAAACTTTAGATGTTATAAACAAAATCTCTCTGTTGGGGGAATCCCACAGTCTTCAAGGTCTAACTTCCTGTTCCTGGGTGATTTTTAAGAATCCAAATATCTCTCTATGTCTGAATAGGTTTTTTTCCCCCTGTAAAAATCGATATATTTTTAAAATAATGCTTAAACTGAACATAAACTGAGAGCGACCTATTGGCCAGTTTCAACAGAACGGCTCTCAGTTCTAAGAAGGGCCAACAGACTTGAGAGAGAGAGAAAAAACATTTTAAGAGGGAAATCTATTTTTGAGAAAATGTTTTTCTCTGATTTAAAGAAAAAAATAAATATTTTTTGTCCCTTGAAAATCACTTTCCAAATATTTATCTTTTATTTTTTCTGTGACAAAATACCTTCTCCCAAAACTTTTTCTTCAGTCTTAAATAACATCAGCTTTTGCCGTCAGCGTGGAAATTTTTTCTCTCCAATGTGTTTGTGTTTTCAGGCCTTCACCTGAAAGATAGACACACTTAGTGCAGTAGTTATACCAACATTTTTATATAATATCTATTCATTTATCATTTAACCTTTTAACATCCACCTCATTTTGGGAAATTCTCGCCTATTTTGCATCCCAAATGGAAAATCAAATAACTTAGGAACTGTAAGCCCAAATTACATGTGCGATACGTATTTTGAAAGCTTAAACTTTCTAGTTTCTGAATATATAAATAAAAACACAGCCGCATCAGTACAAACATGACTGAAAGTTGTTTCCCCCCCCTCAGAAATTAACAGGTTTTTTTTTAACAGCAGTAATACAGACATGCTTGCTTGTTGTGGCTGCTTGGTCATGTTTACATTTTGAGATGCTGCTATATCGGTGTTAATTGTGCTTTGGTGCTCACTGTGTCCATAAAATGAACTTGGTGGTTGAGTTGTGGAGAATCTAAGCTGTCCAATGATGTCTAACATGTCTATATTGGTAAACATTTTACCGGTGTAATTTTCATGCATTGTGAGTTATTAGATGTAACCACTTTAAAACGGGTTGCTGGCCACCCGGTGGGTTTTGAGAGGTTAAGAAAAAAAATAAATCTTTTTGTCTGCCAAATGCTGTATTGAGATGTACATTGGAAAAGTTTTATTTTCCCCTGCTTTGATTTCATAAAAAAAACAAAAGTTTCTTTAAGGAACCTTTGGCTATCAGATTATTAGCCGACTAATCTAAAAAATTATCAACGGATTCATCAGATAATCATCAGTTGCAGTCCTATCAAAATAAATTTCCCCCTGCAGATTGCTTTTTTCCTCCATAAATTTAATAAAAGCTCAAAAATAAATGGGAACCAGCAGGAGGAAAACATTGGACCACCCCCCCTGCTGATGCTCTGCCTCCTCCTGTTCAGCATCCAAAGCAGCCAGTTGGTGGAGGCTGAAGTCCTCTGACAGCACTCATAACCTCAACCCCAGACCTCAGCCTGCCTGATGAGCCTTACATCATCTCTCTGTCCTCCCCTCCCATCCTTTCTGTTTCAGCCTGATGCCTTTATCAGCAGCAGGCATCTAAAGAGACCAAAGCGGTTCAAATAAATCTCGTTAAAAGCAGAGTTAGCTCCTACT